GGTTTGGGAGAGGTGAGAGATTTGAAGGGGGAGGGAGTTGGGGGTCTGAGCTCAGGAAAAAAATGCACTAAGATAAAACCCTCAGCCCCTGACCATCTGTCCCTTCCATTCAAAGACAATCAATAAAATTATGTTGCCAAAAAAGCAAAGCAACCTCCCACAGTCCTAGTTATACCCCCCGGGGCGGTGCTACTGACTGAAGTGTCTTTAGGCCATTCCCAAATGGGGGACTTTAACATGTTCTTACGCACAGTAGAATTGCAAATGGGCTTATTCATCATTGTCATGCTCATAACTGTGCCTGAACTGCAACAGGGAACTGCTGCTTTTTCTTTCCTAATCCTTACTCTCGTCATTCCCCCCCCCCCCCCTTTACTTCTTTTGTATGTTTGACACTCTCTTGTGACCCGCTATTTCCGGTGCATTAACATCAAATGAAAGTCATTGGCCTACTTTATTTACACTCTACTGGCAAGGAGCAATAAATCTTGAGAGATGCAAAAAACTAGAAGGTCTAGATAAAGAGATGTATAAATTGAATCTCTATTCCGCTTTCGTGATTGTACACTCCAGAATTTCAAAAGTGTAGAAACAGTGCGCACGGTTATTGAACGGAAACCTCACTTGTTTACAATGACGACTTAGAAGACGGACTTTCCAAAGATTACATCAAAACGAAACAAATGAACAACTTAAAATTAAACGATAGTGACTTCAGGCTCCTCAATAATACGGTGCACCCTTTAAGTGATTCTTAACCACCAATAATTTTGTCACATTCGAAAGTTAAGTTGTTTCGAAGTTTTAGGCGGCCAAAGTGACGAACTTTCACAAATATCATATGTGAGGCAGCGTGGTGGAATCAGGCTCTCGTCAATTTTTGGGCTTGTAGTGTTATGGGTATCATCTTAAAGCTTGTTCACTTGTTTTTATTTTGATGGAAAGAATATCCATTTATCTTGAATACAAGTCGACATATTTGCGAAAGAAGGAGGTGGGGGTCACCTGTTTTCTGAGGTAAAATTAATGAGAAAACGGCCGCCAAAGATTAGTTATTTTCTTAGCTTAAGAGTCAGTAGTAACTGAAAATTTACATTTTTTGTGCCTTTAATCAACGTTTTTCAGAAAAATCCACGCAGAAATTAGTTCTTTAATGGGCGTGAAATGTGTTGAGCCAAAAAACAAAAATGTGATAAAAATTCACAAACCTGCGGAAAAATGCAAGTTTCGTCATTTTGATTATTTTTGACGAGAGCCTGATTCCACCACGCTGCCTCACAAATATGTAGAGATTATTAGTGACATGCTATGTTTGTTCCGTGAGACATTCGAAATCGCTTCATCTGGACGGAAAAGTGGGCACGCTTGCTCATGCCTGGTTTTGGAAAGGCTCTACTAGATCTAACTCAAAAGAAATTGGCTCCTTCGGGACATTCCTCATCTCTATCAAACAGTAGCCTGTCAGAAACAAAACTGGGGTTAAAAAAAACAAACGTAGTGACTTTTAAAAATTTTGACTTTCACAATTTGATATTTCTTCAGCACGAAGACCAATGTTTGTAAATGTAGTTTAAATAAACCACCATCTACGCTATTTGGCGAAGGAAATGCTGTAATGGAAGCAATTGTGGTGGGAGCGATATTGGTGAAGGTGGTCATGGTGGTGGTGATGATGATGATGATGATGATGATGATGATGATGATGATGATGATGATGATGGCGATGATGATAATGGAAGAAATGGCGATGACAATGATGACACGCACAAAGGAGGCCTCAACACAAGAAAGGTCCACTAGCAGCTAACAGACAAGAATTGTGAAAACGCCAACAAAGAACAGCGATAATTTCAGCCACAAACAGAGAAACAACAACTCACAAATTTACAAGTCGAAGAAAATTACAAAAGAGAGTTATGCGGATCATATTCATTTGTATTTATAGAACTTTGAAAAGACGGACAAAAACTGAGCAATGCTAACTACACCTACACAAAAGTGCACGACATTCACATGACATGAGTATGCATAGATGTCACAGTAGGTTCATGGCGCTACTGTACAGTAAAAACAGAATAAATGGTCGCTTTTAAGGGCAAGTGGGCTAACCCAGATTTCGGGGGTTTCCAGAACCCTTGACCTATACCAAAAGAGGGAATTGCCCTTCCTATAGGAGAAATTTTGTTCCCTTGGTGAGTATATTTGTTTGGTTAGAGAGAAAACTTTCATTGTCTTTTAAAGAGATTGAATAAGGATCCAAAAATTGAAACTTCGATTTTCTCAAAAAAGCATTTCTCGGGATAGCCCCCTTGTCCTTCAAAGCGACCAAATGTGAGGCATCCTGGTGAAATCAGGCGCTTGTCAAAGTTGTGAAATCAAACATACTGGCATTTTCCATCCAGTTTGACAATTTGTTTCTTTTACGTTCATTTAAAAACATATTTCTGTGTGGATTGTACTGAAAAACATTGATCAAAGGCACAACAAATTTAAATTTTCAGTTTTTCAAGGACTCTCAAGCTTTGAAAATCACTAAAATTTGGTGGCCATTTTCTAGCTAAATTTACCTCAGAAACAAGGCAACCAAAACCCCTTTCAGTCGCAAGTATCTTGACTTCTATTCAAGATAGGTGTGCATTTTTTGCATTAAAAGATGGTCAAATGAACAAGCTTTAAGATGATACCAATAACTCCAGATGCCCCAAAGATTGACGAGCACCTGATTTTACCGCATCATGACACATTAATTATCTTTATCCATTTTTCTTATCCTTCAAAAGAACGCAAATGCAAACGTTAGAATTTGATTTAAACACACCGTCCATCTACACATGTTTGTAGTTTAGGTAGGCTCTTTAACATTGGAAGTAGTAAACGAGAATTTGATTTACAAATGGGGTAGTTTTTTTTCTTTCTTGTCTTCAAATATTTTTTCTTGAATGTGTCCTGGGGCATTGTGTTCCTTCGAGCTCAGGTTTGACCTGCCAGGCAGGGTTAAAGCAGTGCCTCTCGTAGTAAATGATTAAAATCATGCATGGGTAAGGTGTAATAGTAGATTAATGCCTGAAAGAATTGTCGGCTTTTCCATAAACAGAGAGCAAAAACACCCTGAACGGATGACCCACAGTATCTAGAAAAAAAATGCAGCTCTTACATCCAAATCGAAAAACCTTTACTGTGGCTGAGTTAGCGATCTTCGTTTTTGACATGAAGCCAACATTTAGAGGCACGTAACCATGAACAAATCCTCTCCAAAAGAGACAGTCTTGGATAATTTATTAATAGCCATTTGTCTTTATCTGTAACAAATCCCTGGAAGTTGCAGACAGACGCTTCATTTTGTAGGCTCTTGCTAATCTATGCAAGGCTCAATCTTGCCGTAAAGAAAAGCATGTTGAAATGAATGCAAGGCCATTATCGCTCTAATAATTATTCCAACAGGTGTGCTTGTTGTGACTACAGTATAGGCTGGACCCTTCCCAGGATGCCATTCCTCAAAACATCCGCCAAAACACACACACACACACATACACACACACACACACACACACACACACACACACATATACACACACAAACACTCTCTCTCTCCCTTTCTCTCTCTCTTTCTCTCGCTCTCTCTCTCTTTCTCTCTTTGTCTCTTTCTCTCTCTCACGTACACACAAACTATCTCACTCTCACTCTCTCTCTTTCTCTCCCACACACACACACACACAAACACACATCTACACACACATACACACAAGCACCTACACACACATTTACAAGCTCACAAACGCACAGACACTTACCCACATACCATTGGCATATTACAAGACTATTCGGTACTACAAAGTCAATTCAACAAAAAGCATTACAGACGTCCTGATAAAACCGTACGGTACTACTGAAGGGCCACACATAGACACACTCGATACAAACAATATACATGGCGAATTATTTTTCTCAAACACACTCGAAGGATATCGAACACCAATTAACATTTAAAATTACAATATGCATTTGGCAAAATGGCATAAAGCATTTTTATTATTTACGAAGATGCACATTTTACAAATGGGAACCCATTAAAAACATCGGCTGTCTTGAACGCTTGTCGTTGATATCAAAAGCTTCGACAGTCTAATTTGGCAGGAACAGAACAGTCTTGAAGTCATATTAACTCTCTCAGCATCAGTACACTGTCGCAGACATTTCAGTTCTGTTTGCAGTAACGGGCTGGCTTTGGCTCAGGATATTATTATTACGATTTTGTCTCTGCATTCTTTTTCGATCAATCCTCATTCTTGGTGTATATCTACTGTTTGACCGTAGTTCGTGTTGCCTAAGTTAGTTGGAAATTTAACATTTTGGTTTGAAGGAGATGGGGTGAATGCGGAAAAAGTTTCCTTGTTAAAAAAAAATTAAAGTATTTTCAGAAAGTGTAACAGATGAGAGACTTAGACAGTCCTTTAACGTTGTGTTCACCCACGGTGCAAATCAGTGCTAAGGGCAAGAATGTCAGTCAGCATTTGGTCGCTTTGAAGGACAAGTGGGCTAACACAGATTTCGGGGGTTTCCAGAAATCTTAACCTACACCAAAAGTGGGCATTGCCCTACCTGTAGAGAAGTTTGGTTTCATTGGTGTGTGTATTTGTTTGGTTATAGTGAAAACTCTCCTTGTCTTTTAAAGAAAGCGATCAAGGGGCAAAAACTTTACCTTCGATTTTCTCATAGCAACAGTTTTCGGGATAAAGAGCGACAATTTTGTACATCGACACGCCACGTCGTCTGACTGAGGACAAGCTGTCCA